TTATCTCAGAGATAATTATCTTCATTGACCATAAAGGGAGCTGAGCAAAACAGATGCTCAATTTACAGCACTTAGGCAGCACAAATCCAGGCCTTAATACATAACTTCAAAGGCACGTGACTAGACACTTTGGCTCTACACAAACTTCAAAGGGAAGTCGGCTACCCCAGAAAAGCACACAATTGATTTTCATCACTAAACACTGACACAGATGAAGTGTAATTCTTACCCAAAGTAATCCCTACACCTTTTGATTCACAGGACAGTAGGTAACTGCTGTGGAATGAGTAGTTTTTATTTGCATATCCAATTTTTAGCTTAAAAGCAGGTGCTTAACTGCAATTCTTTCCTGATTTTCCAGGTTCAAGCCTCATACCCGAGTACTGGCACGGCAATTCAGAAGCCAGAGCCAACCAGCTGAGAGGTACTGACTGAGCTTGAATTTTGCACGAAACCATTCTTTGCCATAAGTCACAGAACAGTCTGCACCTGTTCCTAGGCTTTCAGCACACCTTCCAAAAAGTTCTCCTCATTCAAATAATCCAAAGCAAAATTCCAAATTTGTATTTCATGAAGTAGACATCGAATATTTGCATTTATGCAGGGCTCCAGTTTAAGGGCAGCAGAGAGGCTTGCAATCTTTAACGCCACCTGACCGTACAAACACTGCAAAGCAGCAAGTATCATTATTTCTGGTTTTGCAAACATCACTGAAACTTGTATGAACTGAACATCCGAAATATCATACAACATATCATCATCATTTAGGACACCAAAGGAGCAGGGATGTACAGGCATTGGGCATCTTGGTAAGGCTACACAGATTTTCTTTTCTCAATTTCTCAATGTTAAAATTCTGCTCTCTCAAAGGTTTTAAAAATGGAGAACTAAGGCACATTAAATTTAAAAGCATACACCAGTGATAGATGCACAGCTTGCGAAGTCAAATGCCTATTTTTTGTAACGTACTTAGCATTTTTTTAGCCTGAACCATCTACTTTATAGCAGTGCTCCTAGTGTTACGTGCTGCTACTGGGAGTGTTCAGCACTTCTACTAATCACACTCCACAGTTTCAAACTGAATATTAAAAACATTACCTAACGCTTGCCTTATAAAGTACAACAGCCACAGAAAAAGGTTATTTGGAGGTCAGGTGAATGCAGGGAGGCCCTGCAGAGAGATTTTCATGGCTGTTGTGTTCCTTCTGGAAGCAGTGGTTTCAGGCTCAGCCTGGTCAAGGAGCCTGCAATAACCCTACCATGCACAGGACCTGCACCTTCTGACTCGGGGCATAGCAGCAGAGCAGGGATTACAGCCTTGGTGACACCACATATGTTCTGTGCAGCTGAAAGAATGGGCTGAAAATCTTCCTTTGGGCAATGGGTGTAGGGGCAGAAGATGACAGGACTTTGATGTTAGATGTAACATTGGGAAAGATGAGGAAGGAAGGAGAATTGGGGTTGACATTGACACTCAGGAAGAGAAGAGATTCACTCATCAGTGAAGTATCAATGGGATACATGTGGGATATTGTATGCCTTTGACAGGAAAAGAGGAAATAGGCACAAACTTGAGTATAAGAAGTTCCACCTAAATGTGAGGAGAAACTTTACTTTGAGGGTGGCAGAGCACTGGAACAGGCTGCCCAGGGAGGTGGTGGAGTCTCCGTCTCTGGAGACATTCAAAACCCGCCTAGACATGTTACTGTGCAATCTGCTGTGGGTGGACCTGCTTTGGCAGGGGGGTTGGACTAGATGATCTCCAGAGGTCCCTTCCAACCCCATGTGATTCTGTGATACATATGTGCATCAAGCCTTACGCTTTCAGTATGTCCAGTAAGTCTGATAATTTCGAAGTACAGATAACAAAGGGCTTGTCAAGTAACTTAAGACCTATGAACCCTCAGCAACCTGGTCAGGGGTTCCAACACATAGCATAATTTGGACACCACATAAGCTAGAACTCCAGACAACCGTCAAAGAAACAAAACATTTCATCCCATTCCAATGATTCAACTTTTCACTGGGAACAAAGGGTTTGTGTGCCCTTGTACACAACTCAAAGCGAGGGAACACTGTGACTACCTACATTCAGTCACGAGTCCCACAACATAACCTGTCTGCTAAAACCTTTCATTCCCCCTCGTCCCTTCTTTCCCTTTTACCCCCTCAGAACAATCAGCACAGACAAAGTCACATACCCTTCTTTTTAAAAACATACAATGAAAAGCAAGGGACAACTCTAAGTACAAGAGTTGCTTTCTCTTTGCAATACTGTAAGTGCACTTGAGTTTGAAGAGGGTACGCTACTCCAAACATGAAGGAGTAACCTTTGGAAGCCACTTGAGTTTAAATGGTTGTGAACCTATGTAATGCGCCATTATGCATTTCACATACTTTTCACACTGGGCTCATTTACTACTAGATAGAGCTTCCCCCCTCCAAAAAACAGCTCCTTTACCTTTCCATGTTATGTTATGGCTTGTCTTATATATAGCCCTAAGGCAACACCCCAACCCACATTATTTTTAAAAAGTGACAATGACTGTAAAGAAACACAAAAGCACAGTAACATCATCAACGATAACAGGGAGATGAAGTTGTCCTTCCTTCCCTTCTGTCCAAATCAAGTAATAAATAAAGACCAGTGGAAGTTCAGGCCTGTATTTCTCAAGTGCAGATCAAAACAAGCCCTGAGGTACTAGAATCTCTGGTAGTTACATTGCAGCTTCCTCCTCCATTGTAACAAGAGGAGCAGAAGAGCCCTCTGACACACTCTGCCTTCAGAAAGCTGCCCCAAGGGAGTTAGAATTGCTGGTAAATAACCACATTCTCAGACAACACTGTTCTTGGTTTGGTTTTTGGTTGGTTTTTCTTTGTTTTTTTAAAAAAGAAAGAAAGAAAAAGCAAATAACAGACCTTACATAAGCAACAATAAATCAACTATATCTCTCAGCCAAGATGAAGATGAGACCAACCTGGTAGTAAAGCAAGATTTCCAAAACTGCACTCTTAAAGCTTAAAATTTTAAAGCAGAATCAATATCCTACTGCCAACAGAACATTTTCTATTTCTCAATTCTGTCAAAACTGCCTTTCAAAAATATTTTGCAATAGTAAGGCAACAACTCTTATCCTTTAGATACAGTCACACCCTCACACACACTCGTCGTAAAATGAGAAGAAAATCTTAAATATAAATACTGAAAACATGGACAATACCTGCCCCTAGCTTTGCTTCCATTAACAGTTGTGCATTAACAGTTTAAGACCTATCTGAGCTGAAGCGTCTATTACTTAAAGCACAGTAAATTTGACCACAGCAATAACAAAAGACTGTCCTTACTGCAAAGATCACATTTCAGTATTTTCAGATCCAATTCAAAAGTACTTGGAAACACTGCATTAACAGCCTAATTCAACCCCAAACAGAAATCTTCCTGTAATAAATACAAAGCTACAAGTATTTTTCACTAAACACTGGTTCTAGGTACAAAAATGAAGAGGCTATTTTTCAGAAATTACATATTACCTAAAAAATTTTTTTTTTTAAAAAAAAAAAAGGACTGAAAAAATAATGACTGAAACACCAAGTGACAGTCCTGGTCAAAGGATAGCAACTTATTCTTTTTTTTTTTCTCCTCTGCCTTCATATGTATAGATATCGTTATATTCACTGTAACGACCAATTACAGATCACACAACTATGTTGCCTCTGAGCCAAGAGTAAATCCATTCACTATTTATTTTTTGTTTTCCCTATCCTGCTGCCTGGAGTAAGTTGCATTTAATTAGTCAGAGTCTTAAAGATGACAGAGACCACAAGTCTCCTGCATATATTTGTGTAAAGTAAGACTGCAGAGCAGAATGGAAAGTTTGTTTATTCCCTTAAACTGTAACTATCAATGCATAACATCTATACTGAATAGCATAGCATTTTACACTCCCTGTATATCATTTCTGGGCACTGAGATAACTTCATAAGCATTATTGTAGCTGAGAATGGTAGCTGGGAGAAAAAAGAAAAAAAAAAAGAAAGAGGGAAAATATTTGGGGTGACAGCAGTAACTAAAAATTCAAATAGCACAAAGTCAATCTTTATAAAGAATTCCAATAAATGAGTTAATGAAGCCATCTTCTTCCTAATTCCAAACCAAATATTATTTAACTTCTAAATTACTTTGAACAACTGCATCTTGTATTATCTTCTAATGAAAGTGAAAGCTTTGGAACATTGTTGTTCCTATAAAATCTTAGTTTCAATCTGAATTCATGAGACTGAAGTGGAAACATGTTGACCTTTTTACATTTTTAACACAGAGACAATGCTGAGGAGTCATCTGCTCTGACAATAGGATACAGAATAGTGTCACTGTCATGCTCACACAGGTCTTTTACAATTTTACCCAGTTTTAATCTAAAGGCTTGAACAATGTAGAATCTTTGTCAGCTTGTGCTTTGAATCCTGGATTTCCATGACTACTACACAAAGGTGATTCAATCATACAATAGTACTTCATCCCAAAGGATACCGAAGGCACTTTAATAACTGAATGAAGTCAAAAGCTCTCCTGTTACCTTTTCAAGGTAAAGCTTGGTAACTGTTTAACAACTCAGTCACTGGTGCATTTAACTTTTCAGACTGCCTCAAATTTAAACAAAAAAGACATTGCTATTTGCCATTCTGCTTAATAGTGTGAAGTCAAAAAAAGCCCAACACACCATGAGCTCTGGCCATGTAATTTATATGTTCTAGTCTTTTACATTTCTTCCATTGATTTTAACAAAGGGTGTATTTCTTTGTCTTAAATCAAATAAATAGATACTTTAAAGAATATTGTAATGGATATCTTCAACTTGTATCACTCAAGAAGCCTAATGGGGGAGTACCAAGCTTCTTTGCTGTTTTTTCCGAGAAATGCAACAAAGTCTATATGTTGATGCTGGCCTATTGAAAACATTTATGAAAACCTTCAGTTTTTAATTGAGAGAGATACATACCCCTATAATACTCAAGCCTTTCAGGTAGTCCTGACGAGGTTGGGCTTGTGGCACACAGCCTGCTAGAACCACTTTCTTCTTCCCTTCTTGGGCTTTCCTAAAGAATGACAGATAGACAATGTGTTAATATTTTCAAAACTGATAATTTTCAACTTCAAAATAGTCATATTGTGCATGTGACACAGGAAAAGCAACCACAATGAAAACATTTGAATTTCAGAAACCAAACCAACCAACACACCAAAAGAAGCCCGTATGAAGCTGTCAGGCTCAGACTGGGGAGTATATACAGAGACCGTTACCACAGTTCATCCTGGACAAAAGTACAACCTTGAAATCCCTAGTCAAGGTCACTTAACCTTTATTTGCCACAATGATACCAGAGAATGTGGTCAAGAAAGATGGGTCAAAGACATTAGGTTCAATTCCAGAAAAGTTACATGGAATACAAGGGACAGTCCGGCTGAAAACATAAGCATTTATGTAGTACCAGTCAGAAATTACCAGTTACATCAGTTTTCTGATGTTTACTTAAAAATGTTTATTTACTTTTAAGTGTTCATTTAGTTAAAAATGTTTAAGTAAACGTTTACTTAAAATCATATTGAGCATTTTCAAGCTTTAACTGCTTGCCTTTTGATGAAAAACATTTGTCTGGATATTAACCAACGTAATTCCTTAGCTTTGATGCTACCTTAATACCAAGTAGGAAACCAAAACACTAAGATTAAATGGTTAACACTGTTCATTTTGTTAGTAATACTTTCACTCACTTAGAATCCAACACTGAATATCAAGCCATCACTGAATCTTGAAACTACAGGAAGCCCCTGAACAAAACTATCGGCCGCATACAAAACAGTGAGATGCAAAACCTGCTTATGTTCATTAAACTTTGAAGATCATCCATTAACTTGTTAACCCAACACGACTACTGCATTATAATGTGCAAAACAGTAAAGAAGAGAAGCACTGAATAATTTTAGCAGATTTGATGGGTCTGACATATTATGGGTTGCTCTAAGAACTATCTTTCACAGTTGCATGCTGTATCACAACCTCCTGGCAGACTTCTGTCAAAATGGGACCTCGTAAGTTCCTATTTTCTCCAGCAATATATGGTTTCACGAAGTGTTTACTGTTACGTTGGAACAGGCTAAGACATGTCATAACATTTTTCAGAAAAACGATCTTATCCAAAATACACAATCGCTTAGACAATTTTATACTCCTTAATTTGCTGGAGTTGTCTCCAAGCTGAATGTGCTGCACAAAGTGATGTTCAACAAGCGCAACAAGGATGCTACACTGAATATCAGGAGATCTCCAGCAAATGCAAATTTAATGAAGAAGGAAAAAAAAAAAGAACCACAAAAAAACCAGATTGGTACCACATTCAGTTCCACCAGTCACAATTTTCACTTCATACTCATACTATGAACAAGTTTATTTACAAATTAGAGCTCAAATGAAATCTCGCAAGAACACTCAAATTCTATTATTAAAGAAAATCGCAGGCCATCTTGCCAAATACCTTTTCTTGGCTGTTACACTAAAAATGAGGTATTTCAAAGCCAAAATTAAACATCCTATACACAGACAAGTGTGAAATATCAGGAAAATGTATTATACCTATCACTTCATATCTAATATAAATGCAGCAAATCTCTACAAAATGTTCAATTTTGCTTTAGTAGGACTTCCCGTAAATCTTCAGACATTCATCATACAGAGCCTCACTGGTCCTCTACTTGCATGCCAACATGTATAATATAAATGGAAATCTTTTCATCTCTTCCTTGATAATATTTCTGTGGATAAAGAACTACGATGAAATGCTAATGTAGTTTATTTCTTAGGCAGAGAACTGAATAACACGTCTCTGAAATCTGCAATCCAGTGGTAAATACTTAAGGGTTTTGCAAAACTTCAATAGAGGTCACCTACTTCTACATATCCAAGTTTTTTAAAAAAAAAAAAAAAAAAAAATCTACTTCATGCATTACCTAAAAATGTCACATAGCACCATGTGACACTCCACTAACTCAAAGGATAAAAATCACTACTTATATAGTCTAACAGACTCAGCCTAATGCCTGGAGGCAAGACGGTAAGACCTGTCTCCAGCAAACAAAGCGCACATCCCCAGGCAACTCAGCAGCTGGTATCATCTGCTGCTACCAACAGTCATCCCCACCTACTTGAAAACCTGCAAAGCAGTACAGAAGAAAAAGCCTTTATTCAAGACTTTTTATCCGAGGAAAAAAAATAAACAAAGTTTCCCTTGACACATTAAATGGCATTTTAATGTTATTTCACAGCTTTAACATTTTGCCATGCCTTCTGGGACTATGACTGGAGCTAGGGGGGAAAAAAGTTAAACTGAATATTCTTCATAATAAGCATTACCTTCACTCAACTTTTTTTAAAGTTGCACAGGTCTCTACAGAATAAAGAATTTTGTACACTGAGATTTTTTTGCTTTAAAATGCAATTAAGTGGAAATATCAGGACTAAATTTTCCAAGACAGTAAATTTTAATTACATCCATTATAACACTGCACAGTACATGAAACCCACCATTGTAAGAAAAAAAAAAAAAAATTGTAAGGAAATTATGAACATTTTTGCTTCATTTTCAAGAAACCACTTCTCAAAATATGCATTCCAGTACTATATTATCACCTCCTTCTAATATTGTTTAATATGAGCCCTCCTCATAGTAACAAAAGCCTACAAAAATTACTGTTCAGAAATCTAGTTAATACAGCAACCGTATTAGAAAAGCCTTTATCCTTCAAAAACATCCTTATTCTCACATGAATAGTAGTGAGAATAATACCTCATAAAATCTAGTAGTGGCATGAATAAATACATCTTCCTTTTTAGACGCCTTTTATATTTTTCAATTACATGAACCTTACCTTGAACTTTCAGTTTAATTGACTCAGGAAACATTTTCTAGAAATACACTCTTTTCTAAAAAACTACTTGCAAGATAACACATCTGAATAGAAATTTAATTAGAGCAATTCTGTTTTAAAGAAAGGAATTATTCAAGCTACTTCCTAAGTAATGGGTGGGGAACAAAAAAGCAAGTGAGAAACAACAGGGGCATGAAAAAGTACTGCATATGGTAGAGGACTCATGCAAGATTTGTAGCGAGATCATAGATTATACTCCATTGCATAGACACAGCCATTGCAACCATAACTGTACTATCAGACTTCATGAAACACCTTCGATCTATTCTCTTCCTACCAAGGAAATTTTAAGATTTAACTAAAAAGGGGGAGAAAGTTCTGCCCTACTTATGTGCACTTCTATTTTTTTCAGGAACCTGCCCAAACAGGAATATCCGGCTCACAATTTTATGTAACTGTTGTTGCACGGTTCCTCCATTTTTTCTTTCTGAGCTCCAAGAAAATTTGGTTAATAACACAACAACAATAAAGAAATGCCCTCCAAAAGGCCCCCCTGGTAAATGTTTGCCACATCAGCTCTGTGCGTGCAGCAGCACTGCTGGGTACCGTGGCAGCTGGTGCGGGAAGCTGTCCCACTTCGTCAAGACTTACACAGCTACACAGGTGGAATCACTGCCAAAAAAAAAAAAAAAAGTGAGGGACCATTTCCTGATGTTCAAATCTAACGAAAGCAATAACAAATTTTAAAAATTAAAAAAAAAAAAAAAAGTGAAAGCAGAGAAGATAGGCTAAATTCAACTGAAGATAACGGGCAAAGAAGCTAATGAGGTTCACCAAGGGCATGTGTAAGGTCCTACACCTGGGGAGGAAGAATGCCAGGCACCAGTACAGGTTAGGGGTGGACCTGCCGGACAGCAGTTCTGAGGAGAAGGATCTGGGGATCCTGGTAGATAGTAAATTATCCAGGAGCCAGCAATGTGCCCTTGTTGCCAAGAGGGCCAATGGAATCCTGGGCTGCGTAGGGAAGATTGTGGCCAGTAGGTCGAGGGAGGTCATTCACCTGCTCTTCCTCTGCACTGGTGAGGCCAAAACTGAAATACTGCATCCAGTTCTGGGCTCCCCAGTTCAAGAGAGACAGGGAACTACTGGAAAGAGTCCAGTGTAGGGCAACTAAGATGACTGAGGGATGGGAGCATCTCCCTGATGAGGAAAAGCTGAGAGAGCTGGGAGTCTTTAGCCTGGAGAAGGCTGAGGGGAGACCTTATTAATGCTTATAAGTATCTAAAGGGTGGGTTGAATGAGGATGGAGCCAGACTCTTTTCAGTGGTTGCCAGTGACAGGACGAGGGGCAAGAGGCTCAAGCTGGAACACAGGAAGATCCATTCAAATATGAGAAAAAAAATTCTTTCCGGTGAGGGAGACAGAGCCCTGGAACAGGCTGCCCAGGGAGGTGGTGGAGTCCCCTTCTCTGGAGATTTTCAAGACCCGCCTTGATGAAGTCCTGAGGGATGTGCTCTGGGCAATTCTGCTTTGGCAGGGGAGTTGGACTAGATGATTTCTAGAGGTCCCTTCCAACTCTGACAATTCCGTGATTCTGTGATAATCTGTGACATCGAAAGTAACTGCTAACTTGCTCTTTGCTAAAGAAAGATGAGAATTATCATCGTATTGTCATCATATTATCAATTATCATCACTGTTCTCTTCCCTTTGCACAAGCAGAGCTGCCCACTGGACTTCTCTATAAGCTGTGAACACTTAAGTGCATGACTCTTAGCTTTCAGAGAGCCACCGTCACTCCTCACCAAGACAGCTCACTGCACAGGGAGGCACAGCAGGCATCTGAAATTAAAAGCAGTCTGTTCTGCACTAAGCTGGTGAACTACAGACTGGTCAGCATGAAACATGCAATTTGTAAACCGTTGCTCTAGTACCACATATGTGAAACTAAGTATTATACCTACAAACCCCAATAATTATTTTTTTTCCCTCCAAAATCCATTTTTAGTGGAAATAAATAATGAAGTCTTTAAGCAATGTGCAGAAGGCTGCCTGCAGCAAAAGGACTAAGTAATAGTCAAATACAAGAGAAGCAAGAGTGGAATTTTCAGCAAAAGCAATAAATTAGGGGGAAAGTGCTTTACAGTGAACTTGTTAAGCTTTGCACTGATAGT